TGTATACATAATACGCATTGAAAACTTATAAAAATTAGTGCACTAAATTATGAGAAATAAATTTTTCTATCATATATATTATTTTTTAATTAAAGACTAATTCATTTTTTTATAGAAATATACAAATAATATAATGTGCAAAATAATTTTTTTAATTTAATTTTTTTAAATTTAAGTAATTCTTCAACTTCTATAAAATGTTTCTTAAATTGTTGAATACTCAAATATATACAAATTTAATAATGTTATTTTTATTAATAGACTAATATTTGTTGATATTACTATTAATATAGTAATGTATATATAAATTATATTAAGATAAAACACATGACGTTATATTATTTTCTAAAATTTTACTTTCATTATGTAAACGAAAATTTACCTTGTACGCAGATTTATTGCATGATGTCGAAAGACTATTCATTTGTGTTAACTTCAAATAAGATCTTACACCTTTTAGTGAACGATATTGACTGTTTGGTAATCGACTGTTCGGATTATTATTAGTAAGATCAAGGATAGAAGGTCCTAATGCTGCTCCTACCTATAAGTTGTAATTATGTATATTATTTAGGTTTTGATATATTTTTAAATTAAAATTAAAAAAATTAAGATAAAAACTTTTAATATATGCAAGTATTTGTACCGCTTCAAACACTGTTGGAGTATATTTAGGAGGTACGAACAAATGGTTGATCGTTTTACTAATACCATCACGAATTCTGGCAGGTACAATATTTACTAAACGACCAGAATTATAATTACATTCAAGAGTATAGCTACGTATAAGACCTGTCATTTTATATACTGCTACTCGACCTGAACCTTCTCTTGACATGCCATCTCTTTTATCACTGAAATAAATAAGAAACTATTATTATTATTATTATTTTAAATTTTTATAATTACTTCATTAACTAATTTTAATGCATCAATAATTAATTTACTAACATAAGGTACATGTTTCTTTCTGCAAAATTACATGATGTGAAATGAAAATTTGGATTATTAATGGACATCAATTTTGGCAAAAGCATACACGTGATAGTTTCTTCTGGATCGGTAAAATGATTTCCATACATAAATACACCTTTCTTTGAGGCATGACCATGAAGATCAATATATAAATAGAGACCAGATTCAGTAGATGATTTAGAAAAATTATTTGACTCAGATATTCTAAATGGTGCTGTATCAGTATAATATTTGGTTTTTAATATATCCTGATATTCGTGTGTATTGCTAGATAATTCCTGCTCTTCACCTGAATACATTATATATATATAATGAATTAATATCTTAAAGATAAACTTAATAATTTTATAAATCTAAATGACTATACCAAATTTATAATGTTAAACCTTACCACTACATGTATTATCCAAGTTATTTGTTGTGAACATACATTCATATTTAACTCCTGAATCAGATTTAGCTCTTTCATTTAATGTCATTAACTTTACCTGGAAGCAATATTAATGAAAAGCTATAGATATTGTGTAGAATATAAGTTATATTCGATAGATGCATTATATAATTAAAATATAATGCAGCATTACCCGTTGAATTAATCTTGTAGGTGTATTAGATATAACATTGGTATTTAAATGTTGTTGTATCTCCTTCATTCTGATATTATTTTGATTCTTTATAGATGCACTTTCTATTTTTAGAGGTAACTTTTCTTCTATTATATTATAAGAATTGTGATAATATCTACAATATTACCAAAATAGTTTATGATATAATATCTGTACAGAAAAGTAAATAAAAAGAGCATATATTGAAGAAAGCAAAAAAAACATCAATTATTCTACCTTATTAAATTCCTTGCTGCATATATTGTAGGGTGTTCATGTTCAGAAGGGTTTAAATACATCCTATTGAGATTTACTCCTTTAGTATCCATTCGATAGTGTCCTTTAGCTACCCCATCAGGATTAAGCATTGGTATTAACTTGAATACGTACATACGACGTAAATGAAGAGCTATTTGATCTTCTTGATTCAGAAGGAACTTTAGAAATCCATTCAGTACAAAGCTGGATGGTGTTTCTCCTGGATGTACTCTCGCACTTATAAAAACAACCTATAAATGTATATGTTAAATAAATTAGCACATATTCAAATATTTAAATGTACAAATTTCGAATTAAAACAAAAAGAAAATATACTTTCTTATCCAAAAATTTGAAAGGTCTTTCTTCGTGTTTCTCAGGAAACATATTATTGAATCTATCTTCTCTTACGCTTAATATATTGTGATAAGAACTTATTGTCAAAACATCTAATCTACGACCTTCTAATGATTTTATTGCACATTCCCTGTGATAATATATGTCATCAGTGCTTGTTACAAAGCGTTTTGCCATTTTTATGTCAATTTTTTTTAAATAGTTTTGCAAATCGGTATATGAAAAAGGATACGTAAAAGCAAAATATGTTATAGCTTTCTGATTTTCTGGGGTATAATAAGTAAATGATAGTGTAAAGTCACTACCGGTTTGATCAATCTGTGGAATAGAAAATATATCAAGAACATGATTATTAACTTTTAATTTAGTATTTCTTAATGATAAATCCAAATAAGAAATTATATTATTTTCTGGTATTATTTGTACTTTGATTTTTAAATAATTACTTTATATGTTGGTTTATCATGTATCCGTTCCCAATGAAGTTGACCTGGTATTATTTTATATACTGGACACATTCCTTGACTAAACATTCTAACTTGTTTATTTAAATTAATTATGTTGAATCGAACACAAATACCTGGAGAACATGCTTTAACACCAAAATAAAACCATGTTCGGTTATTATTTTGATATTCTGTTCCATGGCAGTCATATTTAGTCCACAAATTAAATTCATAATCAGATGTCTCGTCAGAACTTAAACTTTTACAGGATCTACTTTCATTTTCACAAATTGCTATAAATAAAAATTATTATTAGTAGATTAGTACATATATATATATGAAGCATCAATATTGGAAATATGCGTGTATATAAAAAATATATAATAATAATAATAATAATAAAGATTTATGAAAATGATGACGATAATTTTCTGACATAAATAATAATAAATTTAATTTCAGTCTAAGAATAAATATACTACTAATGAATAGATTAGAGCTTATAATAAATGAACATGGCAAAAATGATTACCTATATTACATATTTCTGGTACTCTTATCAATTCAACTTTGGCCAAATTAGCAGAATCAAAGTTATTGTAAAATACAAATCCACCACAGTTAATATTTTCAGCCATTTCTATAAGTTTATTTTTATCGCATTATTCAATGATTAACTTCCACTTTGAACTGAAAAAATAATTTCCATGAGAAAATTCCAAAATAATATACGATTATATATACAAAATATAAATACCAAATACAAAATACTTAATACTAATATTGATTATAAAAATGACTATATCTAATATTTTTGAATAAATAAAGATTTTTATATAACATTAAAAATGTTATCTACAGTTAGTCAATAACAATAAAATATGTCCTGAACATTAATAGCTACTAATAATTCTTTTGATTTATTTAATACTCCAAAGTATCCTAAATATTTGGTTAGTTTTTATTGATTATATCTACAACTTGTTAAATTTACTTTATATTTTTTTTCTGTTCGCCATATTTAAAATTATCATTATAAAAAATCTATTAAAAACTTACTTCTTTATAGTTGATCATTGTTTGAACACATCAATAGGAGTATTATTTGTCAGCTGTTCTTTGCTTCCTTTACGGTCATGGCATGAGCGGATATGAGTGAAAATGAAAGAGGTGAAGGGCAATCGTTATTACGTCTACTTCACAATTGACTTTAAATTTACGCACGCGTATTTTCCCAGTTATCAAGAATTTATTCACTATAGATTGCCGTAGATCTAAATTTTAATGCATAAGATTTAAAAAATTGCTATATTCTCCTTCGAATAACTATAAACGTAGACTTACATACTTGATACTTTTATCATGAAGCAAAAAAATGTCTATGCAAAGATATAAAAATCTGTTACATTGTTTTGATAATTTAGGCACATGATATTAATAGCTTCGTTTTAAAAAGGTTGGTTTGTATCAGTTTTTCTGTTACATGACAGATCAATCGGAAGTATAAATGCTCCAATCAGGATAAAGTATATGCTACTGAATATATGTACTTATTTATATATACATGCACGCACATATCTACAAAAGAGAAAAGTTTTACTATTAACAAATTTACTATTACTCAATTTAAAAAAATATCAAACAATAAAATAAAATATTAGTTAATCATAATTTTTAAAATATTCTATTGCATTTTTTAGAAAAGATAAATATATATTTAATTTAATAAATTAAGTTGAATGATGGGACAAGTATAATATAATTAATAAAACATAATCTTTCATTTAATCTTATATTAAAGATGAAGATAAACTCAATTGTAAAATTCACAATTTATTTGTAGGATTAATAAAAACTTCAAAAAAATATTTACAATAATTTATTAATGGTTCATGCAAAATGTATTTATTCATTAAAACAAATGAGGTATAATTATGCGTAAATGTTATAAATCTTTAACAAGTTAAGCTTTTTACTGTTGTTTTAGATTCATTTTCCAAAATTATAACATCATTTTTTCAACAATCTTCCAAATTTAACATCATTTTTTTAACATTTTTAGGTATAAAATGATTTAACAAATACAAATATAAGATATAGTAAATTTAACAATTTATCACTAAAAATAATTATTAGTGTGATTATGAAAACAAATATATATATTTTAAATTACAATAAAAAGATATCAGAATTTATTGTATATATGTATGTATGAATAAATTTTCAAATATTACTTATTTTATAAACATGCAAGTATAGAATAAAATTCATAATTATTTCGTAATAGTAATCTATAGCTATTGTTACAATTTTTTTCCTTTTTTTTTAAATCATAATAACATAATGTATGTTTATAATAAAATCTAGCAACTACATTATATGTTCATAGACTTCATTGGTTCATGGACATTCAGTCTTTCTCAAATGTAAATAATATATAATTACATATGTTTTTAAGTTAGTTAATTTAATTCGTGCTTTGTAATATGAACTAATTGTTTTAAACAGTTGTAATAATTTAAGAGATATATAATAGTAGCTTTTCCATTATACAATTATAAATAAAAAATAGTTTTCATTTTTAATACAGCACTTTACCAATATAATTGTCTGTTTTTTTCCAGTTCTATATAAAGCACTATACATAATATTTACATTTGGTACGATTGTTATAAAAATAGATATGTTATAATACTTTTTGTCTATGTATTTTTTAATATTATCGATTCTAAGAGATTTGAAACTGGGTAACAAGGAGCTTAGTTGCTTTGGCAATATCGTACGCACAAGAACGTACTTGCTGGAGGCAATGGCCTATATGTTCGACGTCACCGGTACATCTTTGAAGACCAGAACATTCTGCTTGTAGTCTACCAGTGTTACCGTTTAATTGACGTAAAGCTGATTTAATATTATCTTCTATAGGATTCTATAGTCAGCAATAAGTAATGTCAGAATTTTTAATATTTTTTACTATGAAAATATTCTTTTAAACCATATAGTGTAATTTTATTACCTGTGGAAATATAGCTGTTAATTCCGCAACAGCAACACGTATACGTTCAGCGCATGGTACAAAAGCCTCGCGTTGATGTGGATCTTGCATAGCCATCCATAATTCTTGTATCCTCCTTGTGACTTGCTCTGTTCTTCTTGTTACCTCTTCACTTGGAGGTAAAGTAGGAATGCCATACTCCCATAAACTTTGTGTATTTGCACGAGATAAAGCCTCTGTATCTCTGTTGGTCTGTATTAAGCAAATGATATAAAAATAAAAAAAAATGTTCTACTTTAATATATTTTTTACAAAAATAATTAAAAAAAAAAAATAACCTGACAAATAGTCGTAGACCATGAATTTTGTTTTCGTAAACCTTCTCTCGTTTCGTACATAGATGCAGGTCGCTGATTGCTTCTTGAAATAGATGTTTTAATATCCAAAACTGGTTCTAATTCTGGTTCTTGTTCACTTCCAATATGCCCATTTAAAATATTATCAGTAGATGTTTTATTATGCTGCAATAATTTATTATTTTAGTTTATTAAGGGAAAAGTCCAATTAATTAAATTTAAAATAACACTTGTTATTTCTGAAATCTTTCTTACCTCAATTATTTGTTTTAAACTAATATTCTCTTGTTTTAATTGATCAACAGTATTTTGAAGAATATTTATTTGACTTTGTAAATCTCGAACAGTAGATTCGGAAAGTGTTAATTGTTTCTTTAGGACTTCTACTACTGATGGAAGACCTTTCGCCATTGGAATGAAAACATCCTAAAAAAAGTGAATGCACAAAATATAAATTAATAAAAAATGAAAGGAAAGAATAAAACATTATACAACATACTCTATATTAATAATTATTGCAAATTATAAGAAGTAATATGCTATATTGATTATATATTTCTAAGACAGTTGATATAGGAAGAGAAATCTTTCAAATATTTTACGTTCTTTTGCTATTTATGACTAAAGAAACTGTAAATCCACTCTGTATGTATAACTTTGTTATAAATATTTATATATAAGGGTGGTAGAAAAAAAGGATCAAAAATTTGAAGAACTTTTAGTACTTATCAAGAAAAGTAAAAAATATCTAATTAACACGGATCCTATATATATAAAATCAACCTTTTAGATGTAAATTAACTTTCACTATTTATGAACATTCGATATTGTAGAAGAGTCTCTTGGCAACATATTGAATGTACACAGAGGAATTTACTTAAAAATATATTAGTTCCAGGTTGACAAGATAAGTTTATTATAAGTTACCAAGAGACTCGCTTATGATATCAAATGCTCATAAATAATAAAAGATAATTTACATCAAAAAGGTTGATTTTATAACTCACATTAGATAGATATTTTTTACATCTCTTGATAAATACTATAAACCCTTAAAATATCAGATCCCTTTTTTGCCTCCTTATAAATTGGAAAGAATGAGTAACATACACGCACAGAATAAAGATTAAATATATATTCAATTTGTGATGAGTAAAGTCAGTAATTTCACTTGCAAAAAAGGTATTGATTGCTTGTCATGTAAGTAATAATTTGTTATTTAAATATACTCCATATCATTTTGTGATATTTAATCATTTCACAAATATTTAATATTTTAATATGTATATATATATACACACACACACACACACACAGATATAGAACTTTGTACTTTTGCACATGCATCAACAATGTTGTGCACTTGCCTAATAACACTGCTTACAGAACAGCCATGTGTTTAGTCGATTCCGTGTTCTTCTTTTTCTTACCAAAGTTGATACCTTCAATATGTTAGTACATAAGCTCATTAAATAAATAATTCTTCAATAAGTATAATGATTACACACAAAATAACATATTATTAACTATTTAGAAATATTTTCACTTTGTATTTTTCTATTACTTTAAAAAAGATGAATGTGTGTATATATACATATATTTATTTTATTTTACTAAGTCTCAACAATTTTTTACTTCTAAATTCTCATAGATCTAATTTAAAATTCAAATTTAAACTGTGTAAATTATAATGATAATTCTTATTATACCTCATCGGCAATTTTCAGCTGAGTAGATAATTCTGTTGCGGTATTATCTATTGAAGTTAAAGTATAATCATCATCAGATGCTACACTGTCATATAATGGTTCGTCGTCAGACACTTGTGATCCATGTTTACCAAATTGTTCTTTGCGAAGCATTGATACCACAGGATCTTAAATATGAAAAATATTTTAATATATAATTTAATATATATATTTTTGTTAATATTTAATACATGTTATTTTTCTATACATTACAGAAATTGACAAACCTTGCAATGGTATATTGTTTGATAACATGTGTCTTCTATTACTTTCAGTAAGTAAATCTATAATAAGTCTAGCAAATTCTTTTGGAATAAACCTTGCTAATTTCTGTCTACCTTGATTTCTTGTTGTGGACAATTGTGGATTAACAGGTAAAAATGGAACTGTACATCTCTCTGGTGATGATGCAGTTGAAAACCAAACTATAAGCAATAATTAATAATTATTATATTACATAATATATAAAGAGTATTATATAAAATTATATAAATATATTTTCTATGCTAACATTGAAATTTGTAATAATGTTAATCTATTTTCTTTTTACGTAAGTATATAA